ATTTTACCCTTATCTGCTATGTTCTAATTTATAGTTAGATACTGGGTGAAGTAAAAAGTTTTGAGCGTTTTCGTTAGATGGCATCTCACGATGTATACGCTGCATCTTGTCATTCTATACCATTCTTTCTATACTGCGAAATAAAGGCGACAAAACGCTTTAAAAAAAGTTATTTGGCAGTTTAGTGAATCTAGTTGTGTTAGCGTTCCAAAATGGAGGTAAAAAAAGAGAAAATTCGATACATTCTTCAGTACCACTACGACCAAGGGGATAAAGCGCAGCAGGCGGCCAAAAAAATTTGTGATGTTTATGGACCCAATACTGTATCGAATGCAACAGCAAAGCGTTGGTTCCGACGCTTCCGTTCTGGTAATATGGACATCGAAGATGAGACACGCTCTGGTAGGCCAATCGTCGAAAATGTTGATAAAATCATGGAAATCGTCGAGTCGGACCGGAATGCGAGCACTTATTCTATTGCCCAGGAACTGAATATTAGCCAGAAAACCGTTTGGAACCATTTGCATAAGGCTGGTCTCAAGAAAGACCTCGATGTAGGGGACAAAACAGTCAGAACTTTTTACTTCACCCAATATTTGTTTAATGTAATATTATTACATTTTTGTGCAGAATATGTCGACCAAACGTAAGCTCCCGCCAGCGAAAAAACCAGCCAATAAGAGAAGCAAAAAGAAGGAAGAGTCTGATGTTGATTCAGATTTAACTACAGGATGAGGTCCTCATTGCTGGTCATGGGGATATGATCTTCATTATTTTGTTTCATAGTCCTGTATAAACATTTCATTCTTAGTTAAAACAATTACAAAACAAGTATTTTGGATGGAATAACTAGAATCATGTACATGTAAACCTCGTTTTGCGCAGATTCACAATAACGCTTATTAATTGCTGATTTTACACTTATAATATCATTAACGTGTAAAATCAGCAACGATTTAGTTCTATATAAATCTTATATAGAACCGTATAGTTACCATACTGTAAACATGGGTTCATTTTACGCCGATTCGATTTGCGACGGCTCTTTAGAAACGGAACTCCGGTGTAAAACGACGTTTGCCTATATATACATTTACTATAGAATTCAATTAACTATCGTTTGACCATATGAACGAAATAATTTAATTATATTTCTAGTGAAATTTATATTGGTTTTTAATATATATATATATTACTGAAAAAATGAAAGAGTCACTTTTGAAACATATAAAATATTTATTTGCTTTTGTTATAGTGAAATATTTATGAAAACACATTACGATTGAAAATATAATATGTGCTAATAATACTTTACAGTCTTTACAATAAGAAAACTATAGAGAAAAAAATACAAACGCAAAAAATTTCAAAAAATATGATATAAGACAAAGACAGTTTAAAAAAGTTAATAAAATAAATAAAAATATAAGATTTTTATATGTATAAAAATATGCACCGATTGCATAAAATCGAACTGGCTTTTTACTAGTAACATATAATATATATTTATATTGCAAATTCATCATGAAAAATTATTCTCTTCGTTACTTTGTACAGTATTATAACCACTCGTCGTATGCAATCGGATTAATAAAAAAAATCATGAATCAGTTGCCGATCATCGAATTAATAATGAATACAAGCATGCGCATGTTCGTAATCAATTTGTGACTCGGTTTGTTACTGATAAACAACGTCAGTTGCTTCGACAATTCCTTCAATATGTTTGGCACGTGATCCTTGGTCATTTGATTATATGTTTCTAAATTCAATATGGCTTCCTCCAGATACCTAAAATAATTGTTTACACATATAAAATGTGTTATAAAAAAATCGAAATTAATGGTAACTCACCTAATTTTGATTTCAGTGTGACTGGATATGTCAGTACCCAGCTGTTGCACCAGAGATAGCAAAACGTGCTGCTGCAGGATACAATTGTTCATGCCAAAAATATCTTGTGGTTTAATATTTTCGCAGATGTGCAGAACCAAGGTGAGGTCGTTCGACGTTGCCGATGCGGAGAGCGCTTGCTGAAAAGCTGTATCAATATTGCCTTTCATAAGAAGATTATTAATTTGCGTCAATTGTGCCTGAAACATAACAAACGTGCATTTTAAATGGAGCAATTTTACATAAAATAACGAAAAGTAGTAGCGAATCGGATAAAAGTTTTCAGGATTTTCCTTATCTATCGACAGTCACAAACATATATAGGAAAATTAACTTGAATTTAACAAATAAACATTTATTCCAAACTAAAAAAAAATAAAATTAATAAAAATTCTGTACAGCCTTATGATATGTATACATATATATCTAAATGTACATAAAAAATATATATATTTAAACAAGTAAAATAAGAAAATAAGTAGTTATGTGCTAGAAAATCAATTTCTAAAATATCTGAAAGATTTATTATAACGTACTTGTGTATCGATCACATGAGGTGATGGCGTTACGGCCCTAGAGCGGACTGCATTCACTACGCTGTCTTCCAAAACAGCCGCGTGGGTGCGGAATCCTATTTTGACCTGCTCTTTGACCACCTCAGTTATTCTATCGGTCATCCTCTCCTGCATACTACGGAAAAACCTAGACATTAATACATAAAAAAGAAACAAATCAATTCTCGTTTCAACAAATACATTGCATAGAGTGCCCAATTAAAGTAGTTTAAACAAAAACAAATAAAATATTAAAACAAATTGAATTCCAGTATTAATTTAAGAAATTCTTTAAACTACTTATGCATTATAAATATCCAAAACAATGTAATTACTTTAGAAACATTAAGAATGTTGTAACAAATATTTAAAAAAAGAAATTATTAAATCAACAAATTCATTTCAATTAGTGTTTGCACTTTGATCTACTTATTAAAAGTGCAGAAAAATAAATAAGTGTTTTAATAAACTTACTTGTTAAATGCTATGTTAATTTGCTTTTGCATGTCTTCGCTGATGTGGCTCGACAGTTTCTCAGTGTGCGATTTCATGCTCTCAGACACTGTTTGCATTTGATTAATCAAATCCTTTCCTTTATCTTGCACTTTCCTCTGCCTATCCATGTACATTTCGACGGAAGATGTATCTATAGAAAGTATATTAACTTAATGTGATTCAAACTAAATAGAATGATTACTCACATTCTTTAGTTCCTTGTGTGAAAGTGTTATGAATCTGTTGGAACATTGTATGACAAACGCGTTCCCAAGAGGGAATCAGCGTAGTCCCAATCATTTCCTTATAACAATTATCCAAGCTTGGCTTTATAACATTAATAACAGAACTTGAAAGCGATTCAGCAACAGACTGGAATTACGATATTAAATATTATAACATTAAAATGTTAATGGTTTGCACTTACCGCTTTATTAAATAATTTCGCAATGTTAGTCTTCAGTAGTTGATCAATGAGGTGCAGTTTTTGCGAATATTGCACATCCAATTGCATTTGCAGTTCCTCGAATATACTCAATATCGAGGGTAGGACATTCACCTTGATATCATGCGTGATGATAGTTTGCAAGTTATCGCATATACTTTTGTTTATTGTTTGCGTCACGCTATTTACTAATTTATCGTATTGCTCCCGTTCTTTCCGCTTTTGTTCTTCTGCGAAACCAGTAAACATTTTACTAGTGTGTTTGCTCAATGCAGTATCCAATTCCTTGACAAACACGTTGCGAATATCATATTCGTTTGATTTTTTTCCGTTTTGAATTTTGATCTCTTGTTGCAAGGATTGTATTAACTTAGTTTGTTCTTTTAGTATATCCTCCATACTCTTCATCCGATAAGACAAATCTTTAATTTTAGTGCTATCTTCGTCCGTTTGTTCTTTACGTCTGTTCAGCTCTATTTCAATGGCTTTCGCCATAACCATATTAGGCCATGCGTCAGTTTTTGGCGCCTCGGCTTCTGCAAATAAATTTAAATAAATTGTCTGCAAAAATAAAAAAATATGAAATTATTACCATCATTTGCTGCGTAATCGTTAGTTGGTAAAACAGTGGCTTCCGTGTCACTCAACTTTAAATTGTCAAAATATTCTTGAACTACATGCGTTGATGGATTGTTCAGCGATAATATTTCTTGTACTTCTCTGCTAGGACTGGATCCACCGCTAGCGCAATTATCTTTCTGGGGTTGCTGGAAGTCAATCAAAACAGCATTGTTTTCTTTCTTAACTAATGCTATTAACGCAGTTGGGCTCGAATTCAGAACAGGTGAATTGCATTCAGGTGATAAATTAATGCTGGATTGCTGCTGGTAGTCACCTTTCTGCAACAATCGATTAAGCGAAGATTCTAGATCGTTAAATTTAGGTAGATTCTCGTCAATCTCGTTAACTTCGCTTTCATTGTTTTCAAGGACATTCCCGTAAACCGATTTCAGGTTCGAAGCCATAGATCCTTCAGGCTTGAATGTCACAGTGCATTCCTGCAAGCTTTTAGGTTGTACCACAATCATCTTCATTGCAATTGCCGTCAGACTAGTTTCATCCTCGTAATCCTCTTGATCGTCATCGTATAAGTCCTCGCTGCTATTTGAATTGCGTAAATTTGTTTCCGATACATTGACAATGCAAAAACTCAAAAAAGACGAAGGCAACAAAAATTCCGATATCGTCGATACACTCGCTGTTCTTTCTTCTTCGTTTTTCTGTATTTGTAATGTATATAATATTCTGTTATTTATATCGGACATTAGAAGGTATTCTGCAGACATATCGAGCGTCACTTTTAGGAATAAATTTGGAATAACCGAGTGTGGACTTGGTTCGAATCTTATTGTTTGCAAGCACGTCCAAGACTCGCAAGACCAAATCTTCATCTCTGCGTTATAATTTGCACCAGTGATTGCAAACTTCCAAAACTTAGAACTTAACAAACGAAAGAGTTAAAAATACATTTAAACTTGAAGCTAAGAAACTCACTCTGTCAGTGCATAAGACTTAACATTGTCCAAAAATAGAAGGCAGGAAAGGGCTTTACCATCATGAGGTTGCCATTGATGGAGACATCTAGGATCCTCTGATTCAATCATATATACCTACACACAATAATATTTTGAAATAAACAATTTAATTAAATATTTATAATAATTTACCTGAAAGAATTTTACATAGCCATCAAGACTGGCTGTGGCCAAGGCAGTACCATCAGGAGAAAATGACGCATCAATGATATCCATGCAATGACCATCAATCTCCACATATCCATCATATTCCTCATTTGGAGCTATTTCTAAATATGTCCCTGTCCCATATTTGGCATTCACCAAGCTAACATCCCAAACTTCAGCTTTACTACCATTCAAAAGCACCAACAACTTGGCAGGATCATCAACAGTATCAGAGTTTTCACCATAAGTTGGAACATAAGGGCACCAAATCACCCTATAGTTTCCACAAGTTGGATCCGGATTTGAGTGATTTACATGCAAAAGCAAGTTGCACTCCAATTGGTTTCCCTTACTATCTACTGTGTACACAACCAAATTCCCATTCTCATCAACACAACCTAATATAACTTGAGGAGTTAATGCAAATGATATATCTTGAATAGTTCCTTTAAAGTCCTTAATTAAAACTCTTTCATCAGTTTCCATGTTAACAACCCGGAACATTCCAAGTTTACCTTCAAAATAAATAAATTATAACACCTATAACAATCCAATTACAAATTACCTTTAGGTTTAAGAGTATATGCATAATGCTTTCCATTGACATGACAAGCAATCAATTGTCCGATGTGGTATTTTAATTCCCAATTGTAATCAACAAGATTTTTTAGCTTTACTTTAGAACTTCCATTTCTATGGTCACCTTTACTACAATTGATGGTAACATCTTGAGCAACAACTTCAGCACTGTACTCAGTTTCAGAGCCCTTAAAGTGTCTACAAAAAAAATATTTTTTTATATATAAAGATACATAACCTACATTTCATCAATATTAAGAATAGATATAATCAAGATAAACTTACATCGTTTGCGAAAAATTCGCTTTGGAGCCTAAAGAATTTGAACCCATCTGAAAGACATGAAGACCTTGCAGTTAATTTGCATCAATAAATTTTCAACACTAATTTTAGGCCATTACTCATGGGATAACAACAACGCCAATAATAATAATTTTAAGGTTTGTGGCAACGTTTGCGTAATCTTTAAACTTACCATTAAATTATCTATTCTGTGTCAAAGCATAAGAGATAAAATAAAGAAATGAATCTTAGTTTGAAAATGAAAAACAGTTAATTATGACATGTAGACGCCGAACTAAACTCGCAGACATACGCGAATTACAAAATGTTGTAAGATTTCGGTACCAAGCACTGTTGCCACCTGCATTTTTTTTATCATCCACATAAACATTTTTAATTAGTATATATAATTAAAAATAAGTCATCAATATTTTTATATGTTTGCTTTACACAAGTAATAATAATTTAAATAATCAATTATATAAAGCATGCAAGATATATTGCCTATGTGACAACATTTATGACTAGTTTTCTACTGGTTTCCTATTTATGATTTAATTATATGAAAGAAAAGCAGTTTTTCAATTAAAACGACAAAAAAATATTTAAATATATTATGTATATGTAATAGTTGTAATCAATAAATTTCACTAATAATACAATATTGGATTGTTTAAAAATACATATCATATTTCACAATTAGTTTAGATATTTCAATATATAATTATCTACAATACTTATATTGAGGTGCCACATAAAGTGATTAATTCCAGGTACTGTGATGATATCCAGTTTCTTCTTTTTATCCAAACTCTTCAGTCCAATCAAATCTTTGGTATAAATATCACGGTTTGCCATCTCAACTATACTATCGTTATCTCCAAAATATCCAAATTGACTAAAATATATCGAAATAATCAAAATAATTTCAACATTTAGCAGTAAAATTACCTAGATTGCCACGGCGTTATGACATTATCATCAGGACCCCCAATTAAAACCATTTTATTTAACTTTAACAACCCAACCCTGAAAGTCTCACTCTTATTAGTAATAATTTCGTTATTCACAAATGGAAGAAATTGGGAATATGAGAAATACAATTCTTGATGGAAAGGATCATTCCAGTAATTGCCCACAGATGTATGTTGACCAACATGAGAATAAAACAGTTCAAATGCCCCTTTTAAGGCAAGCCCTGGAAATATGATATGTAGAAAGGATGCTGAAATCTCATTTAATTAATATGATAAGATTTAGTAAATGTAATGTAATATTACTTCCATATTGACCTGCCTGAGGCCCACTGAGTGATATGAAGTTGATTACATTGTGTTGTGGAAAGGTTTGAAGGATGACTCGGGAAATTAATGCTCCTTGGGAATATCCTTGAACCAAAATAATGTAACAAACAAATTACAATAATTTAATATAATTACCCAACAAGTGTACACCTTCAGGATGTCTTTTACATATGTCCATTACATCTTTGCCAAGCTCATTTACTTGAAACCACAAGTTATCCAAACTTGACCAACCAGCAAACCTGTCTAAGTTGTAAATTACAGTGCCTGGATGTTTCTGCACAAAAAACAATCAATCTTTAATAAATTGGATTATTATACTATATCACTTACTTCTAAAATTCGTCCTTTGATCAATCCTAGACTTTCATTGCCAGTCATGATCCCATGAAGCAGGACCACCGGTTTGTGCCCATTGCAAATGCAGAAGATTGCAATTAGCAAAGCAATTGCAATTCTAGTATGCATATTATATTTGTCTCTTTGTCTCTCTATACTTAAATGAATTACACTCAGAGGTCACAATTGTTTTGTGCTTCGTACTCATTCAATTCCATTTACAAATATTGAAATTGATTACAGATTTTTGTGTTATTTAAATACGCAAGTATCGTTTCCATTGATAGTTTCCAAACGAACTTTCCATTTTGTAAATAGTAAACAGATTGCAATTGAACTGAATTACACCAATTGAGGATTCTGCACAAGTGTTTTGCATCATTGCCAAGTTTATCAACACAGCTATATTTGAATTAAAAAAAAAATAGCGTTTAATAACATTTATGTATTTGTGCAGTGATAAGTTTGTGTTTACAAATTAAAAACGATAAGTTTTTAAATAAACTTTAGATAAGAATAAGAAAACATCGATGTTAGTACACAGTAGCTGTTAAGATGGCGCATCTTAATCATCAGTTTGTTTTAGCTATTGAATGTTAGATGACACTAAGCACCAGGTTTATATCACACTTATATTTACAAGTAATCCTATCTAAAAGATATTATTTACAGTTGTTACTTGTGATTATATATGTAGTACTTTATATTTATAGTACAATAATATTGTTTGTGCTATAATATTACATGATATTGAATAGGGTATAAATCAAGTAATGTTATTTTTGTAAACAAAATGTTACTATTTTATTTATAAACAAAAAACAATTGTAAACTGCGTTCAATTGTATGATCATACTATTAATTACCTGCTGATATGGAATTATACAGTATCAGAATGTTATAGAAATATAAGGGAATGTATTTGGAATTGTCTGTGCTGTGTGCACAACTGTGTGAAATTGTAGCGAAGGTAGAGAAACAATAAATCCTTTGGTCCGAGAGTGTTGCGTCCCTGCGAATAAGACCTATACTATCTGGACACCTGTTTGTTCTCACCATCAAGGCAAACCTCAGCTTAGGATTGCAGGATTTTTCCTTGCTTTCTTGTTTATAGCTCGTAGAAACATATAGCCGCATTTATGTCTTTACACAAAGAACCGAGGCTATTTCGCTATGCTCTTTTTCTTTGTTGCATACAAATAATAATAAAGGATTCTACTTTGAAAAAAACAAAAATTACATTTTATTGATTTAATAAAGTGAAGAAAGTTTAGATTAAGTTATTGTATTATTATTGGTTTATTGACTTAAGTATAGTTCGTTAATCAGGATGTCCAATAATCTGTAACTGATATAGCAATTATTATATGTAATGCTTTGTTCATTTAGTGTTTAAGTTAGGAAATAATTTTCAATTTATCTATAATGGAGAGATATAAGGTGGTATAATATGTGATATAAACTTTATTTATATAATAATAAAGCTTAGGGAGCAATAATAAATTAATAGATTTTTATTGGATAGAATTTATAGTGCGGCAAATCAAAGAACAGATAAATTTAATTTGTTGGGATCGTTGTGGTTAATTAGAATTAATTGATGGAAGGCAACCATGGAAATTGGTAAATGGGAAATAGTGTCCAATTAAAAGTATTCATTATCTACAGTGGTCGTCCGTAATTTTTCGTTGTTCCTTCATCTGTTGGTCTTCGTCATTTCGGTGAGGAGTGGAGCTCGCGCGACTTTCTGTACTCTATGTGGGCTCCGATTTATTATGTGAATCTTGATAGTCGGTTGATTGCTTCAATTTAAAATTACTTTGCTTCCCATCGCGGTAATTGTTTAATAGTCTTGCTACTGACCATTCCCATATGCCACTCGCAACTCATTTATTGATTTACTTATTACGTATTTAGTCGCACCGCAAATAGTTTCCGTTTCAAAAAAGATTGGCAAAATCTATAACAGAGTTCTTCCATAAATCAAAAAACGTCCGACCAAAATTCGTTCCTCCTGCCGACACCTTTTTTCTGTTCCCTTTTATTTTTGGCAGAAGGGGTGTTTTCGGGTGTGTAGTTTCTATGATCTTGAGAACGCAGCAGATGCAAGTGTAATGATACATGTAGTCCTGCGGCCTGTCCTGATCCTGGGCCGTGACGAGAGAGCACATCGGATGAAGAGAGAAAGAAATATATATAGAGGGAGAGAGATGGAAAATTCGCAGCACAGGAGCACCCCTTAATATCGTACCCCGTAATTGCGCCGTAATTATTATTGTGGGACAACAAAGGCGCTGTTTGTCAACACGGTTTGTCATTTTTCAGATCAGAATGTATTTATTATCGCTATTATTGCTGCGCATAAAAGCTGAAACCTTGGCCATATGACTGAGACTAAATTTTATTCTACGCCTTTGCCGGATGCGAGGGTGCATTTTTTTACTAAGCCAAACAGATGCTGAGCACATAATCACAATATCCTATATACTTTCCTCATGTAATACATATTAAATGCACTTATTTGAATAAATTATAGTTGTTATGAGACATTCATTTCTAATGGTAATTATGATCATATTCAATTAGATACATTTTATATGAAATTATATTAATAGTTTTCAACTAATTTCATAAGTAACAACGGATACAAATATTTAAAGAAATAATTTATTTTTTTTATCTCTTTACTTAATTAATGATAAGTATTATTTGAGCAACTTAAAGAGAAGAATGCAAATGGAATCACTGTCGTTGAACAGGTTTCTTTCAGACATGAGGATGTGTAATGCTTGCTTTTAGTCTCCATTCAATTTCAAATAAAAACCCATGGGTCACCTTTAGCCAAATCTCTACGTTGAGCTCATAGTAGATTATATTGGACATTATTTAATAATTCAGAAACGCCTTTCCATTCCGTGTATACTTTTGTATTCAATGAAACTAAGAAGCGCAGTTTTGTTACAAAATCTAGTTAACAGTACAATTAAATATATAAATTTATATAAATTATTGAATTATCACCAGATATTATTATTAAAAGGAAACGGTGAAGTAATTTTTATTTATTGAAGAATAGTATAAGCGAATTTTTTTGAAAATTATAAATAATGATTCCATTGTATAAAAATGGATTTGTTAATAATATAAAAAAAAACAATAAAATTATTTATTTTCAAAATCTTGAACTGTTCAGTACTTTTCAAATTGAATATGTGACACATGACGATAATGGTAATAATATAATTGAGTGGAATTGAAATAATAAAGTAGGGGATTCCTTGTGATATAAGAGCATCTCAGTCGCTCCCCTTTTTGCGCGGCACTGTATTTTTGGGACGTGTATTTACGTTGCCGTTTTCTGTTTAGGTTTCTTTACATTTTGAATTCAAATTAAGAGAGCACTGTTTTAAACTTTTTTTTCCTCTATTTTCTTAACTGAGAATCTACATAAAACCTTTTGATGTGGCTTATGCCAGTCTGCTTAGTTCCAGATACATGATAGCGGTTGCAAAGCGCACCCCAAGGCTATACGCATTTACATCGTTAAAGGGGTTGGTAATGGGTGGGGCGGAGTCGAGATATTCCATCTAAGTTTTGTCTTTGTACTCGAAAAATATTTATATTTTGACAATGGGTGTGTGTGAGCGAGTGTATTTTTTTTCTGTTTTGTTTATGCGAGCTGGGCGTTTCGTGTGTGCAGAACCCTTTTTCGTGTCGACATGTGGCCACTTGCTGCGGCCTCTGACCATAAGCATCATCGACGTTGTTCTTCTCCTGATCCGATTTTCCCTTATTTTGCTGCCCTTATATTGTAAATCCGGCGTCTGGACCGGTCGTTGGTGACGTAACGCCAAAGACAATAGGCCAGGCGCCATCTCAATTGACGTCGTTCGCTTTTATTTAGCGCCTCGTACTCGTATTTACCACTTGATTTATTGCGGGGGTGATAATTGTAATTGATACTTCCCGTCCATCGGAAATCATCTTCTTGGTTATAACATACTCTCCCCGCATACTCTTCTCCTCACGACTTTAACGAACTACTTGTTTTTATGTTTTCCACTTCTTGCACAATTCCTCAATCTGATTAACAATAACTACATTACACTCAAAGCAATACTAAACTTCTTATTTAAAATATATAAACATGGAAATAAACATCTGGACAATCTGAAAGTCGGAAGAATCGTTGGGTAAAAACCTCATCAGTAGTTTCTTAAGAAGACATTCTCAAATAATTGAATTATATAACACATTTTTAAAACATTCTTTAAATATGTTAAAATGAAAAAAAATATGAAAATCACACTCAAAAAAATATATATGCAGTGGTACCTCGACATACGACTTTAATTTGTTCCGTAACCTTGCTCGTATGTCAAATTGCTCGTATCTCAAAGCAATTTTCCCCATTGAAATTAATTGAAATACCTTTAATCCGTTTCAGCTCCCAAAACACCACCTCAGTTGTTTTTGTTAAGTGTTTTTGAATAAGAAAAATGTATTTACAAGAAGAAACATTTATTAATAAACAACAAATACATATTCTATAAAAAACATAATAAAAGAAAAAGTGAAGTGCTTATATATGCTTAATTTTTGTCACTGGTCTTCGCTTTATTCGTCACGCTTTGCTCATTTTAACCTAAAGATCGTTTAAACAAACTGTCCAAAGAGGTTTGTTTCTTCCTCCATTTCAGGATATTGCGGAAATGAGTTAGGCAAGTTTCGTTGAACAATTCCGATGCACGACCAGTTGCAACTTTTTCGGGGTGATTTTTATCCACGAATTCAACAACTTTCTCCCACATTCCCAAGATCTCCTTTATATCTTTTGTAGAGATAACCTCCTCCATCTCTGGCTCCTCTTCAAAAATATATTTTTGTTGAACTACGGTATGCTGGTTGTCAACTCCTGAGACTGTTCCTCGACGAGTGTGAACTTTCTCATCCACCTCCAAACTCATATTGGCGCAAAGTCCTAGTTAATCTGTCCTTCATGGGTTTGTGACCTGGCATCGTCTTCTCCTCTGCCGTTATGTAGTCCTATTCGGCATCCTTTTCCAGAAAAACCCTGTCTCGCCACAGTTGAAGACTTGCTGGAGGATGTTTCCTTTGGCTTCTATCAGTTCGTTTTGATGTAAACCTCAGCTGCCTTCACATTCCAACTTGCTGCCTCACCATGCCTGATGACGGAGTGAATTCCGGTTCTTTTCCTAAGGTTGTCAAACCAGCCCCGACTGGATTTAATCGAGTGTTCCGATTCCTTGTTTGTGAAAGTGTGTGTGATCTGCTTCATCAAATCATCGTAAATCGCTCGTGCCTTCTCACATCTGATGCTTTGTGTTAAGGTTCTTCCTTGAAGCT